TATACGAGTATTTACAAGGCACATAAAGACAACGTTTTTAGTCTCTCTCCGTGATCTTTACGCACTATCGTTTTCAATGTGTGAAGACATTCTTTACAAGAGTGTAAAGAAGTTCCTAAAGACGCGTAAAGAGGATCTTAACGCTTACTTTATGGCATCTTTATGGATTCGTAAATTTATAATTTCACGCTGTGGTAGACGACGGCAAAGGAAACAAACCAAACCATCCGGATTAAACTGTTTTGATTCAAAGCTGGATGTTTAATTACTTTTAAACTTGGATTTTGAAAAATCAAGCCATTTTAGTCACTCTTTGGCATTTAGTCTTTATTGGAATTTATTTCGTCCGTGGAAGTAGGTGTAAATTTCTGCTTTAAATCAAATCAAACGAGACTTTTGACGTTCACTTATCATTTTTGAAAGTCTATCGAAACATGTTATATTTAAATTTGTCAAAACGAGAAAGCGCCTTCACAGTTGGTTTTCTCTTCCAGCGGAGGTAAAACCAGTTACTCTTGATTAATACTGAAACCAGAGATTTATTCTGGATAACAAAAATTAATCCTTTTTTACCAAGGTTGTTCGGTCAAGATGGCATTAATACAATGCTACGTCCAATGTAAACATATTTTCTTATTTACAACATATATCTTATTTACAAGTTCTCGCCGATCACCTGCTTCCCTGGCTACCAAGTTAATAAACCTATTGGCCAAAGGTCCAACCTCATCAGTTGAATTATAAATCTTCTTGTTCTTTTTTATTACACATCGACTAAATCCATCTTAACTTTATCTTTCTTTATCTTACTCTATTCTCTCCCTGTCGCCCATACCCAGGTTAATCCCGATATTGATTACTCGTCGAGGACTCGAAATATTCATTACAAACTAGAAGATTAGCTAGAGTTATTTCACAGTCCACTTTCTCAATAGATTCTTCAGTTCAGCGTAAGCTTGCTTCCCGTTTTGTAATGGATCGGAAATTCGACATCTTTTTATCTAACGATGTTCAGCTCCTGAGGACACTATATGGAAAGGTTTTGTCCAATAAAACATGATCGTGCATGATTACTCTTAAAACGCAACGAAGTTAGTTAAAATAATTAAGTAAAAAGCTTCTTGTGGCTCTAATGCCAGCCGATTGTTAAACAACAACACGGAACACTGTGACAACTTTTTGACAGTAAATGTTTCCATTTTTAAATCTCTACTGACGAGAGTATTCTCACCTAACTATATTGAAAAATGCAACCCCATTATAGTTAATCCCGTCGTGAAAATGCGACCCAATCCAGCGAAAAAAGCCCGATTAGCCTCTCACTATGAAGTATTAACCCTCCGCCCCACGGGCATGCACACCGCAAGAAATGATACTGGCGGGTCTTGTCAAGCACAGCTTCCGCGCGATGACGTACTTCAAATTTGTAAAACGTTTATTTATCTCCTCGTTGCTTAGTCGCCACATAATCCTAGCCCTTGAGTATCGGAACAAACTTAATTTGGGAGTCCCGGTCAGTTCATTTTCACTCGAAAGGCTGTAACAATAACAGCCTAAGTTCCTCATATAGAAATAAGAAAATGCTTTTTAGATAATTGTATTTTGAAAACGTTGCAGAATTAAAGTTCTTTAAATTTTTGTTTTGTTTTTTTCTTTCCTTCTTTGGGTGGCATTGAGAGGCATTCTACAATAGTATATATCCTCCCACACCTCACCGGGCGGATATTGCAAAAGATCAGATATTAGATAGACAAACGGAAACTCGGATGATAACGGTAAAGACAAAACCCATAATCTTCCATTAGATCAGAAAAAAGATGTTTTTAGAGAACCAATAAAGCTATTGTTGTTTAATTAACGAAACGTTTATATGTAAATCGATTTTGTACTGTCTCTGTTGACCTCTAACTTTTGAAGAGCTCAACTTCTTTCTCAGTTCGGTCGGCCACTTCCGAATCCTCGTCGTCTACCAACTATGGGTCGTTTTTATACTTCCTATTTGCTTCTGGTAGGGCCTGAATCGTCGGTGCAGCACCAGAAAGAAAAATGACTGCTACAAACAACAGAATGTTCGAACGGCTCGACGAAATCGGCTATTTTCACTTGAACAAATTTCACAAATTGTCGCTTCAAATTAGCGTCATTTTGAAATATTTGCATTGTATGCCCAGTTTTGTTTCAATCAGTACAAAACTGGACGACACAAAACTTTACCATTATGAAAAAATTGAATGTACTGAAGCAAACCGTAAGTAAGAAAATCATGACGAGACCGGCAAACAACGGCTCTGGAAAAGACTCCTTCGTGTCTCACGCGATTATAAAACGAGACTTTGGAGGTTCCACCCGTGACGTCACGGGAAAGATAGCGCCATTCAAGATGGCGAATGTCTCGAATTTGGAAGAGCTTTTACAAATTGAAAATGGACTTTTGATAAAAGAAAACGAATGGTACCTTTAGTGTACTTGATATATTTACTAAAAATCTATGTGAAAATAAAATGAATGTTTTTTGGATTTACATGCCCTTTAAACAACTCAGCCTGTCACGAGTCTCCAGAAAATCTGAAAATCCGACTCGGAGTTCTTTTTCCACTAATGACTGTGTCAATTACTGACTTCTGGTTTCTGTCATTAATGATGTTACGCTCTTATGGACCACAACGGTTTGAGCGACAAGTCGACATTTCCCTGCGACCATCGAAATCAACTGGACTGTAATATTTCAGCTGAAGTTTCCATATTTGTCTGTGAACTAAGTGAATACATCTTGTAACTTGTAGCAAGATAGAATTCCGTGAGCTACATTGTTGCAGTCGCTGCGCGCTGGATAGAATCTTTGAAATTTACACTTTCGATCACTGTCCACATGAGTGGTCTGGCCAAAAATAATTTTTGGCTTGTGGCGACGCAAAAACAGAGAATTGGAGAACAACTAAACTATTTTTGAAACATGTGTCCTAAATCCTTTTCATGGGCAAAAAGTAAAATAAATCTTTTTTCCGACGGGAAGTTGAGAGGACCGCACTTAGCGAGAGCGTCACTTAACTTTATTCCATTCTATCCTCCGCATCCCGCTCCTGCCTAAGCTAATCTTGTATTATTCGCGTGTTAAGGACTCGAAATCCTAATGACGGAAGATGGGAGTTGCTCACGGCCCACTTTCTAATGCTCGATAGATTTTTTAGTGCAGTGATAGCCGTGATAACCCCTTCACCGGCTTTTTACTCTCAAGATCTCATAAGAAATTCTCCTTACTAGCTGCCATTCTATTTTTATGGTGTTATTTTGGGAAATTTTGTATTGGATCCTGCAATAAATAATTCCCTTATTGATATTTCTCGATATTGTCAACATTCGACTGCTTGATATTGTGTTGATGCTGTGAGAAGAAATTCTACCTTGAAGCGACTTGAAGGTGGCAGTAACCCGTTTACGTAATTGATCAGTTATTCAACGACTTTATTCTGGCAGCATTTCAATTCACAAAGGCGGTCCGACCGACAGGTTAAATCCAATAAACATGACAATCAAGATTTATGAAAGATTACTTAAACTGTCTCAATTTCTTTCAACACGAAAGAGGTTAGGCAATAAAAAGTGAAAACAAAGTGTTTCTGCGCATTTTTAAACTAAACTATTGGCTTTGTATTTTAGAGATTTTAAATTGAGAGGGAAACAAATAAAAAAACATTATTTTAGTGTCTTGGACTTTTCATTCACAGAACGATAGCTAAGTAGCTTAATGATCTGTCTCCATCCATTTTGAAGATTCCGACCATGTGACAGTTTGAGCAAAATTTATGGCGAATTTTCCAAGTTTGGTATTTGCTATTCATGCTACTCCGTGACTTTGGGAGAGAAATTTAAGACATTTTCATCGTTCATTTTGATCAATTTGCAGTTTCATCATCAGATGTTAGAACAGTGCAGACAATTAAGGGTCAAAGTACGCTCATTTCCTTGCCATACCGTGACCGAAATCATATTTTAATCCTTCTTTATCCAGGGCTTCACTGACAATTCATAAGAGATTACAAATAGCGTTTTCCGTTCGTATCTATCCTAGTTTGTTTTGGTTAGTTTTTTTGTATTATCAAGATATGCAAAATAAAGTACTTGTGAAGTTGTTTACCAATTTGTGATAAAATTAGGTTCCCAACTTACACCCCATACCTTTACAGTCTTTACAGTCAATCGTGTGTAAGAAACTTCACTGGCAAATACGAAAATGAATAATCATTGAGGGCTTGAAAATCCTCGAGTATAGTAGGTTTGAAGCCTATTGGGTTATCATGACAACGCTATCGCATAGCTATTGACGTAAATGCATAAATAATGTACCACAGTCTTTATTTCTTCACACGGTAAAACTCACATATCCTAAGTTACATATTTTGTTATAATCTTAAATCGCTTGATTGATAGCTTAGTGAATTAAAAAATCATCAGAAAACGTGAACTTGAAATAAGTAAAAACTCTTTAAGCTTATTCCATAAATAGTGAAGCTTAATGAAAAGTTATTTTCATCGCATTTGATCAACTATATATGGTTGTGTATAATTTGGTCATTTCTTCTAATCTGTATTCTAAGCATTTTAAAATCTGCATGGCGTTGAAAAAAATACACGTTTTATTTCTTGTCGTGCAAATTAAAAGTTTATCGATTGTCCGGATTTATTTCTTTGTCGGATATTCAAAAAAACTGAATTCACAGATATTTTGGTTTAATTTCGAAAGCAAGCGAACTAATTTTTAATTGCTAAATCAACAATGAATAGTTGGTAAAAAGAAAATCAAAATCACCATGCATGCAAATAAATGCACTTGATGCCTGATCGCGAGGGAAACAGTTAACGATGATGTTCCCTTGGCGGAATTCATTCAAATTCAAGGACGGCCACTCGATCACTAATCTGCCAATCACAATTGTAATAAAAGCGAAGTCGACCGATCAAAGGACGCAGAAATCACTATATACATGAACACTTTACCGTCAGAAAATTTTAAAAAAGATCCACTGGTCTAATTTTCATTTCAGTTGATATGGGGGCGCTACCCGCGGGACTGTTTGGATCTAATTTTCCCCAATGGATATCGGCCCAGGTTTCCTTTCGACAATGCGGATAAATTCCGTTGAGATTCGACCAAACAGCACAAGCACTACTGTTGCCATACCACCAGCCTCCGCCTCTTTTTTGAGCACAATGGGCAGGATCTCTATCCCAGGTACCAAAAATGAGATCTTTGTGAGGATTGAGGGAGTCAGAGGAAACAGTTGAATCTGCTTAAAAAATAATAATAATAATAAATACCAAAATTCCATAATATTAGGATCAAGATAACACCTCAAACTCGATAGCTACGAATCGACGAAGTAGGGCAGATATCCAAATACAAAAACACCTGGCAAAATAATAAATACTCAAATTTTATGATTTTGCTAAAGCCAAGGTCAATGAATTTTCTATCTCAAGCAGCTTAAGAAAACTATCCAAGGAGGAGCGCCGACTCAACTTGGTATGGGCAGAATTAACAGCAAAACACAGTCAAACGGGCATACACTAGAACGAACCATTCTTTGCAGGTTACGTGGAGTTGGGAGAAGGGATTGAATTAAAAACCAGTTTTTCATAGGATTCAAGTTGTCACTAACTTGTTAATTTGCTAAATTTGCTAAGTTTAAAATGGACATACATCAGTTTAAGCAGCCTCTCTGAAGAAACACATTTTAAATGGTTTTAGCAAAACAGCTCTTAAGCTTTGGTGTGAATGGGGCGGTAGACGTCGATAGGGAAGTAACACATAAAATCGAACGATGAATGTTTAAAAAGACGGCTTACTTACTTGTCATATTGCCAATGTACAGGCGGTAGTCAGCCGTCGCATTCTCAATCCCAAACCATTCATACTCAGCGTGAACAGTTTGGCGCGTAGTTACCCCCAGATCTATTCGAAGCATGTTCTTTGTTTTGTTTTGTGTCAGACGGTTTATCTTGTCCAGTCCGAGCCAAAATTCACCGAGCAAGTTACCGAAGCCATATTTGTAGTTATTCCAGGTGCGGTTAAAATCAACGGAGCCATCCATTCTCTTCTGAAAGACTGTCCATCCCCCACCGGAAGTAGTTTGGTCACAATAGACATTAAAGGCACCTGAGCCATCTGGGTCGATTGTGTAAACACCGCTGATCCTTTGACCGGAATAGTAGAGCTCAACACAGTTCTTAGCTGTTGATAAAATACAAGGGAATAACAGTTTGTATTCTCTTGAAAAATAATAATAAAAATATAAATTAATAGATTTTAATAAAGGTAGTAACACACATGAACGAAGAGGAATCGTGCTTACATTTCGCCAATGTTTTGTTCTCCTGAACTTGAGTGACGTCCTTCGTTATTTTTTCTAAACAGACTGCAGTGTTCTTTTGGCAATCTATTGGGAATGCCCGCGTTGATGGTAGAATTTGATAAGTCACAGAGAGTGCCAGAAAAAGTAGAGCAGAACCTGAAGGATAGAAATCTTATTACATGATGTGAGTTCACTGGTTAGCGCCGATCGAGGATTAGTAAGGGGGTCGGATTAATATTCGCTGAATAAATAAAGTCCTTGGAGGGGTAAATAGATAGCATGCTCCCCAGAAATTGTTGAAATTTAGATGGTCAGAAAAGTGATTTTTGGCGTTTTAAAGGACAACTGTCAAAAACTGCACTTTCTTGAAAAGTTTTTCATGGATGATAGAAGATGAAGGTAAAAGATGATAGAAAAAGAGAGATGGAGATGGTTGAAGGTGAATGACGGTAGATGAGGGTAGAATAAGGTAAGTGAACGGAAATTAGGGTAGATAAGGGTAGATGACGGTAGATAAAGTTAAATAAATGCAAAGTCTGGTACATTCAGGAAAATAAAATGAGGTGAAGGTGCTTGAAAGTAGAATAGGGCCGATGAAGGTAAATGATGGTATACTTAGGAGATGAAAGTAAATGAAGGAAGTTGAAGGTTAATTGATTCGAAGTTAGATAAAGTTAGAAGAAGGTAAATAAAAGTAGATGAAGATGAATGTTGGTAGAAGAAGGAAAATGAAAATGAAGATAATTGAAGGTAGATAAAAGTAAATGAAGAAAGATGAAGGTGAATGAAGGTATAAGATGGTAGATAAGACAGATGAAGGTAGATGAAGGAAGATGAAGTTATCTGAAGGTAAACGATGGCGGATGAAAATGGACGTGGGTACATGAAGATAGTAGCTGAAGGAGGATGAGGATAAATGAAAGTAGCTGAAGAACAATGAAGGAGATAAAAGGAGAAGGAAGATAGATCAGGGTACATCAAGATAGACAAAGGCAAATGAAGGTCTTTGAAGGTAAAGAATGGTAGATGAAAGTAGACTACGTTAGATGAAGGTAGATGAAAGCAGCGGAAGGAAGATGAAGATAAATGATTGTAATTTTAGGTTGATGAAGGTGGATGAGGCCAAAAGAAGATAGATGAAGGACAAGGTAGAGCATTGAAGGATAAAAAGGTAAATGAGATAAGAACATGGTGAATTAAGGTAGATGAAGTTAGCTGAAGAAAATTAAGGTAGATTAGGGTAGATGACGGTAAATAAAGGCAAAGAACGTGGAAAAAGGACAATGAGGCAGTGTATGGTAAAATAAATGAGACGAAGATAATTCAAGGCGCTCAACGCTTGTTTTTTCAGCAAAATGGTGGAAGATAATTCTCATATTTAACAACAACAGACCAGTCTTAAAATAAAATACAAGCTTTAGAAAGGCAGTATTCGTATAGGAAGAGATGGATTGAAAAGGACTGAAACATTCTTTTCTATTGTTAGACTGATTATATTTGTTTATCTTTTTTCTAGAAGAGCATCAAAAAAAAATTCCGATACGTTTGAAGGCGACTTCTTTTTCATGCAACGCTATTGATAATATAAGGTATGCTCTTCGAGTCTTCTTGTTGCATTGCAAGATGAGCGTTGCATATAAACCCCATAGGCTAGTTGCTGGAAGAACTGATCCCCTCCAGGTAAAAAATGTTTCATGAGAAGTCCTACATTCGGATATGTGAGAATTGGATTTAAGCACCACAATTTTCTAGCTTGATGTCACATACCTACTCCTTGTTGAACGCCTCTCATGATAATTCTATTGGTGATGTATGCACCACGCTGCCTAAATGTAATATTTGAAGAGAAATAGAGAAACTCTACCGAAGATATGGCAGGCAAGGTTTCCTAAAGACTAACTGAGTCTCTATCTGCCCCTGAGTTTTTAATTACCTGAGTGCATGCGCACATGTTTTATGCCCAAAAATCGTGAAAGTAAAGTACTTATGTGATCGCTAGAGACAGCTCTAATGGAATTAATTCTATCGAGAATTTTCGTCATATACTTCAACTTAATGAAAACGCCCACTGGTTGAGGTAGCCTTTCAAAAGTCATGCAGAGCTGGGGAAACTGAGTTGGAAATGACACCGCACTTCCGCGACTTTGAAAGAAGACATGTTTTAAGGGTCAATCTTTGTATGAAGATACGCGAGTTCATAAGAATTGATGTTGAAATTGTAGTAGTTAACATTTCACATACCGTAATGCAAAAGAGTAAACCACTGATTCTTCTTGTGAGTTATTTTACATATTCATCGCATAATACGTTAGAGGCCTAAGAGTAAACGATTTCATTTTTTCAGTTGCATGAAAAGCTATGAATATGGAATTAGATTCCTTCTATGACTGTTCGTGATTGAAATGGGAAGGAGTGATATTACCGTCTTATCAATTTCAGTTGACCCCAAGAAATTCTATGAATGGGGTAACATTCTCAAGAAACCGCGGTACTGCCTCGGTGGGGGAGAATAACAAGGTAATTTGGTATTATCAGCTACGTTGATTACCTAATATATCCTGTTTGTTATCAAACAAAACCCTTAAATACGGATGAAAAGCACCAGCCGCACTTTTAAAATTCATTGGCTATATTTAAAGCAGTTAAGCGAATGACAACCTGAAATCTTCTGAAAACAGGTACTTTCTTAAATCACTTAAAGGTAAGTGAGTGAGAAATGCCTCTGCAGAGATATCAACCTCTTGAGATTTATAATCTCACCAGGCCCCACTTTCGAACCAGCCTGATTTGACCCACCCACGAAGGGGTTCTATAATTTCAATTGCAAAAGTACAAGTACAAGTTACTTTAAGTCACCAAAATCAGAAAGTTTAAGTGAGTTACGAAACAGTTTCCGCCAGTAGGGGAGAATTACATGACAAGGCTTTTGAATCAGGAACAGTCCGCTCGCACTTTTTTAAAAACGTTCGAAATGGTTTAACCATTAGCCGTTTAACGGAAAAATGATATTGGAAAATTTCAAGTCTTGTCTTGCCTTGTGGCCGATGCGGTTACGACTGTATTCCATACCGACACTAAAAACAAAGATATTTGGCTCTGGTCCCAATGAGACCAAATCCCCCTACGGGTGGTTTTTCTATTTGCACGTAGGATCAGTTGACGAACAGTGAATACTTTTAGAACTAATTTTTAACCTTGCTCTGTTATATGCGAACATCTTTTGCCAGTGGCCAGCCTTAACAACAATTTTTTTTTAATTGTGCAGATGTTTTTCTCAAATGACTAACTGACTGCGTCATCAAAAAACGACCAGAGATTCGTTTACATCATTCTATTAACTCGTACGATAGTGAGGTAAAACTGTCATTCAAAATTAAACTGCGTTACTTAAATTGCGTTTCTTCACGTATCCGCCATTAAGCAAATGCTGTAAGCTCTTTAGTGATCTCTTTGGCTTTAAAGAGATGTCCCCCGTTGATTTGTTTTCAGAGAAACCCTATGCCTTTTTTACTCGATTATAAATCAGCTTTGATAAAGTGAGAGTGGATATCTTGTGACGATATATCATGGCTTACTCAGATTCTCATGGAGCGTATAAAATGAGTTTGACTCATTGATAGTCAGGCGGCCAAGCAATCACATCATCAATCACTACTCACTCACCTACTCACTCGCTCACTCACTCGCTCAATTCATCAATCAATCAATGAATCAATGGATGGGTCCAGAGATACGTTACACCCATTGAATATCACATTTGTGACCGCAAGGAAATTGACCGGCGGATTTGTGTGCGTGTTATCGGAAATACAATGTTACTTATTAATATATATTCCTTACTGCTGCAAGCTACCGACATATATCTGTCTTATACGGCATTTTTGACCCAAAAAAATATCAGGTATATATATTATTCACAAAATTAGCACCCATTTCTCCTTCAGAGCTGAGATTTAATTCAAAAGCTACATTTAGTTTTGAGTGTATAATTTCGTTTCTTTTATTATTTTATCACACGCTTACATGTCGATGTCTTCCCTGTCCCGTAGTTTCGACATGTTTATTATTAGCTGATGATTAATCAAACACAGTCTTCAGACTTTGGAAAGCGAAAATAATCATATATTTACTAAGCGGTGAAGTGGCTGAATTCTACTTCCGTTATAAAAATAAAAACAAATAAACCATCGACTAAGACTATTTGAACAATTTTGTTTTGATCGAAATAGTTTCCACAGTGGTCAGGGTATTTGTTAATCTAGGTCAAAAAAAAAGAGGAACCGCCCGCTTTCTCGGCACGCATAAAGGTGATAAGCCACTTAAGTTCTTATTAAACAAATGTTTTTTTGAATTAGGAACATTGCAAAAGTAGGAATTGATATTTCTACACGGTAAATAACTTAAAATTATCCTCAAATAATGCGGGCGGAGCTTTGAACGTCGCTATAAAGGATACCTACGCTCGCGCATTTGTTTCATTATCTAGAAAATCAACATAACTTTTGGGAACCCTCTAAATTACTACAGTTTATATTTGATACTCTCAGGATGCTCGAAAGAACTTATTCAAAATTTGGCCAAAAATTCTGACCGCAAAATGGACCGAGGAGGTCACCGCGGCCTATTTTGTAATGATTACTACAATGTGATTTGGATTGAGGTATTCAATATTATACTATTGTGAAGAGAAAATTGCTGACGTGTGTCTCTTTATAACTTTGGTTGCGACACACACAAAAAAATCTAGCATGTTATTCCAATAAATTTGAAGAGTTTGGCTAGATGATAATTACTTCGTCATTTAGTTAATCAGGTAATTTAGTGTTAACAACGGAGTTGAAAACGTCAGTAAAGGGTTAACGTTTCGAGCGGTAGCCCTTCGTCAGAGCGATTGACGAAAGGCTAACGCTCGAAACGTCAGCTTTTTTACCCTTTACGGTGGCTAATTTACGTTTTCAACTCAGTTGTTAACACTAAATTACCTGCTATACTCTCCCACCGACCCAGCACCACAGTTTCTTTAGAAACTGACCCCTTTATTCATTTAGCTAATCAGTTGAGTATGATTTAATCCTTTCAGATATGAATTCGAATTCCGAAGTTGTTTAGGTTTAAACTGGCGGGATGAGTTTCCGACTTCTGACAGCCTCGTCTAACTTCTTTAGGTGGATGTGCTTACTTTGAGTACTGACCTTGCTTTGGACTTACACGAAAGCTCATGTTTTGGCTAACGCAATCAGAGGTTAATTCTGTTGAACCGGCGAAAACATTGTGATTAAATACTTTGTTGTTCATTTCGAAAGTCTCGTGAAATTTTTTGGTCTAGTGTTCTTAACAAGCTTTTTGGTCTAGTGTTCTCACCATATCTGTCAGTAGTGACTATTAAAGCTTGATCTTTCTAGCTTACTTAGGAGAGTAGAGAGAAGAGAGAGGAAAGCTGACTGGAAGAATGTAGACAGTTGAGTATGAAGATGTGAGAGCCGTAGAGATTAACAAAAGGGTCACACAGAATAAAGTAAGCTTGAATGTTAGTAGAATTGTGTATTAGATCCAGAGAACTGAGTAATTAAAGTGCCTATGACACGAATTTTCTATTGAGAGTTGTGATACATCGTATTCGCATAAGAAATGGAAGTTGCGGTTTTCGACGAAAACCAACAAAGACGGTTTCTCGCTGCGGTGTTCAGGTCAAGATTAGAGCAAAAAATTCCATAGCATTTTATTCCTTCGCACTATGTGCGGCGAAGGTTCCCCTCGGTCATTGTTCTAGAGTTTCGTTCCTGTAGAGAAATTCCTGTATTAAACAAAAAGCTAACTTTTGACGAAAGAATTAGCTGTGTCACGAGGCATCAAAAGTTTTCACCAAGAAATCATCGGGTGGTTTCACTGCAAGTCGCTCCTTTCCTCAGAGATTGCAAAGGCAGAGGCTATCGTCACGATCGTCGAGCCGGCCAAATCGAACGGAAAACGAGTGAGTTTAAAGTCATCTGATTCAAGTTAATGTCAAATAGGGATTGTGGAAAATCTATCAAAACATGTTATATTTCAATTTGTTAAAAGAAGAAAGCGCCCTCACAGTTGGCTTTCTCTCGTAGCGGACATAAAACCAGTTACTCTCGATTAATATTAAATTCAAAGATGTATACTAGATAACAAAACTTAATCCTGTGTTACCAAGTTTGTTCGGTCAAGATGGCTAAACAATAGCTTGGGTTTTTGTTGTTGTTGTTGTTGTTTTTTTACGTTTTTATGGACCATCATGACCGTGGTAACCAATTAAGCGAACAATGCATCCAACATGAATGCCTTTGTAGGCCTTTTTACAATGCACAAGCCGTTAGTAAAAAGATCCTCGTATTTTAGAAATTTCTGGGATCGCCACTAGGTAGAATTGTCAGTAGAATTGTATATTGGATCCAGAGAACCGAGTAACTAAAGTGCCTATGACACGAATTATCAACAAACTCTATTGAGAGCTGTGATACATCGTATTCAAGTAATAGATAACAAATGGAAGTTGCGAGTATGAAGATTTCAACGAAGACTGACAAAGACGGTTTCTCGCCCGCGGTTTTCAGGTCAAGATTAGAGCAAAAAATTCCATAGCATTTTATTCCTTCGCACTCGGTCATTTCTCTAGAGTTTCGTTGCTGTAGAGAAATTCCTTTAGTAAACCAAAAGCTAACTTTTGACGAAATAATTAGCCGTATCTTGAGGCACCCAAAGTTTTCACCGAGAAGTCATCGGGTAATTTCACTGCTAGTCGCTTCTTTCCTCAGAGATTGCAAAGGC